ATACTCAGATCATTTGCATCTCAAACAATAAACTGGACAAGATACAGAGTGGTGGTAATGAAGATTTACTAACAGTGAGAGTAAAAGTGTAGCTCATACTCTGCAGGCCCTAGCAAGCACATGCCTCAAGAACCCTGGGGTCTTTGGGGGGTACTTTTATGTGTCTAAGCAGAGGAAAGAGCCAATCCCCAAAGGCAGTCATGGGGTCATCTTTGTCTTGCCTGACAAATTGGCTGTTATATAACTTTGGAGGATTAGCTTGTGCATAAGCAATATAGTCTATGATTTTAAGCATATGTAATTCCCATTATATACATGCATGGGATGGTAAGCATAGAGTTCCCCTGACTATCATCTTTAAGGACAGATTTGTCCTCACTGTGCTTGCATCCATTACTCTTTAGGTCAACCTTGTGTGTCTATCCTCCCAGAAAGAAGTGCCTGATAGAGAAGTACTCTCTTATATTGTCCTGTGAGGACATCTCAGGCACATTTTTGTCAAGGGGAGCTACACCAGGTAGCTGGAGTCCATCTAATAAACACACACACAATAAAAACACGTATATACACCCTACATATGGTGATTTGAATATGGATAGCCCCCATATGTTTACATGTCTGAATGCTTGGTCAATAAGGAATAGCACTATTAGGAAGTGTGGCATTGTTGGAGTAGGTGTGGCCTTGTTGGAGGAAGTGTATCACTTTGAGGGAAGGCATTGAGGACTCATATGCTCAAGCTACACCCAGTGTGGACACAGGTCCCTTTTTCTGCCTGTGGATCAAGATACAGAACTCTTAGTTCCTTCTCCAGGACCATGTCTGCCTGCATGCAACAATGTTTCCCGCCAAGACAATAATGGTCTAAACCTCTGAAACCATTTTCATTTATAAGAGTTGCCATGACCTTGGCATCTCTTCACATCAATAAAAACCTAACTAAAACAGTGTGTGTGTGTGTGTGTGTGTGTGTGTGTGTGTGTGTGTTAACTTTTTAAACACTTATATACTTTAATTTTCTACTATTGTGCATAAGTCTTTAACTTTATTACACAATCTGTTAATCTTGCCTGCTTTCTAAAATACTTTATTCCTATTTTGTTCCTATCAGTAAAGGGCCTACTTGCTCTGTGATTCTCAGTCAAATGATATTTACTAAGATATTGCTTTAAGTTTTAGAACTTTTTTTCAATTTCCCTTTCATTTTTTCTTCTGTTACTCTTTATAGTTATTGTTGGTTTATTTTGTATTTTCTTGATATGTTTTAATGATAAGTTGGTTGCCTTTGCAACATCGTCTCACTATGTAGAACATTACGTATTCAAGCCTGCAGCAATCCATCATCTTGAGTGTTGAGACTTAAGGCATAGGCATGTGCTATCATACACAACTCTTTCCTTTTAAAACTTAATCTTGCCAGTGATGTAGATCTGATTAATATCATTTAAACAATGGCATATAGGATCACAGGATGCTATAGACTTAATTCAGTCAAAGGTTTGCTCATTCCTAGGTACATTGTTAATTCATTTGTATTTCCTTTTTATATGCACTTACTTGAATGACAGAGTAAGCTCTGGAAAATTCACAAATTAAAAAGACATAGCAAACATTTCTGTTCTAGTTCTAAAAATATTTGTTCTAGCGTTTTTATTGCCTATTCAGGTATGAATATATGCAAACAAACTCTTCCCAAATGACTTTTTCTTTTTGAAAATTATGAAAGTGAAAGTCTATTAAAATGTTAAATTGACTCAGTCAATGAATGGCCAAATTATATTTTTGTACATGTTCTATGTTCAGCAAATAAAGCCAAAAGGTGGTTTATAGAGTCACTAATTTGTAATTTTCTTCAACTGAAAATGCTCCAAGCAGGTCATGGTATCACAATTAAGACTCTTTTGCATTAAGGCAATTGTGTGATGACTGATGTAGTTACCCAGATTGGAAATTGCTATGTGAAACTTCAGAGCAATGAAAACTGGAAAAGTGATGAGTGTATGAAGATGCTCTAGGCAGGAGAGAATAGATGTTTCTTATTAGCTTTACTCTATGCAAAAATTGGCTTCCAAAAAATAATGGTCTAAAGTATTTGTGTACTGATTTGATAGGCCAGGAACTGGGGGTACAGCTCATCTGGATAGTTTGTCAGCTGATGATCTATTGCATGCTGAGAGCTACAGACCCAATAAGCAGCTCTGGTGCTGTGAGTTGGCTAGGATTGGCTGGTATGGCAAACAATCATGTGCTACAATAAGATACATGGCATTTTTTTTTTTTACTTAAGTGGACCTCAGGTTCTGAGAGTACAAGAAGGTATCCAAATCTAGAGTCAGTATGAGAGAGGCCTTAGACTCTTCAGTTCAAGCTGTTCCTGCAATGGGCTTTCTCTCCTGGTCCCTTCACTTCCTTACACTTCCAGTTCAATGTGCCCAAGTTTAAGATCATCAGACCTGTGTTTATCAACCCCCATATAATGTGTGTGTGTGTGTGTGTGTGTGTGTGTGTGTGTGTGTGTGTGTGTGTTTATGTGTGTGTGTCTATTATATGCTATATATTGAAGTATTTAAAGAATTTCTTTTTCTTATTGCTTTGCTTCACTTTATTCTTTTAGATATGGTCTTACTCTGTAACTCAGGCTGAACAAAAACTTACTACTTAGGCCAGAATAGCCTTGAATTTGGAGTATTCTTTCTACCCTAGTCTGCCAAGTGTGTGGTTACAGGCATGAAAATGATACACAGCTAAATAGTCTCTTTTAAACTATGTTTTTAAGGAAAAAAATCAGCAAAGTAGTTGAGCTGTTGTCATCTTTCATCGGTGTCCAGATCACACTGAAGTAGCACCCACAAAGGACAATTGGCTCTTCTCTATGTTCATCACCTCTTTTTCCCGTGATGAAACCCCTGAGAAAATTCCTTTGAAGGAGGAAAGTTTTAGTTTGGCTCACAGGTTATGAGAATTCAGTCCATGCTTACTAAGCTCCATGACATTGGGCCTAAAATGAGAAGAAACATGGCAGTGAGCACAATTTCTTCATGTGGGCCAGGAAGCAAGAGCCAGGGTCAGAGTGAAAATATGCTCATCAAAGATTTGCATGACCCAGCATGTCCCATCTTCAAACATCCCTGTTCAGCATCTGTATGAGATAATCATCTCTCAATAGCACAACCCTCTGGGAACCAAACTTTCAATACTTTAGGGACAATTCAGAGTCAAACTTTAACAGACGAGAGAGAATTGGGACTACGAATGATCAGATGTCTGTAACACAATGTTTATATGAGCAGAAGATGAGGTAGTGACCTGAGAGAGCTGGAAGGCAGAAGAAAGACTGTCTAAAAACCAGCGATAAATGGTGACAAGAGAGAAGGAAGGTTAACCAAACAAGAGAAGTAAAATGGGATAAAGGGAGAAAGTAAGAGAAGATGGTAATACTCACAAAGCTCTCACCACCTGAGGTATAATCATTGGAATTATCTGAGTTAGTGCTCAAGCACTCCTAACAGCATCCCAACAAGTCAGGTTGAGCCACCCATCATCAAACTACCAAGAAATGGTGAAAAATCAGGAAAAGAAAATTAGTCTATGTGGCCACATTAGGATGAAGAACTAAGAGTCCCTTGACCCCCTGGTCTGTCTTCCAGGGTTAGTATACGGATCAGATTTAAATAGAGGACAAGAGATGTGCAGAGCTCACAGTTCCAGGCTAAGGTGTGGTCCAGTTTATCACTACTGTCTGCACCACTATCCATTCTCTCCAGAAATGTGCTCTAACACATTCTTAACACTGTGTGAAATGTCAGCACTGTGACAAAGTCATCACTGGTCAGCACCAGGCTTCAGCCTTTTCATTCTCCCAGTAGGGAGTTTCTGGGGCACAAATGTCTCTCTTTAGAATATCTTCAATCCTACCAGAATGGTTATACACTGAAGTAAGCTTCCCTAAGAAAGAAAAATAAGTGTTTAAGCCAAATATATATGTATGCATATACACATATGTACATATGTACACACACTGATATATATATATATATATATATATATATATCTTTTTATAAACCCCATGGCAATATGTGGAAGGATTCTCAAGGTGACACCTTGTTTAACCTACTCACAGGTGAGTAACCCCTGGTCAAAAGCACACACACCTAAAGTATGGCAATCACATGTAATTCATGATGACCCAGTGTTCAAAGCTAGGTTACATCACAGGCTACCAGATCATGAAGTACAGAATCACCATTTAATACAGTTAACACTTACAGGACCTACTTGAGCAGGTGATATTCTATCTGTTTGATAAATATTTATTTTCTATCTATAATAATTGGTTTTTATGCAGAATAATTATTAGCTCATTTTTCTTGTTGATATATATGCTATTTTGTCACATATGTGTTCTGGATTTTGACTTCATACCAAACTTTGAGGTGCTTCTCCTTGAGAATTGTTCAGCTTTTGCTTCAGTAATGTTGATATGATACACAAGTTGGAAACATAGCTCTTCACGTGTTACATCAGTGTAACTGTCAGCTGTGGCTCAACAATGGCTCCACAGAGTTGCCTGGTCTTGACTCCAGGTTGCACTATGTCTTCTTCAAATCTCTCTTCTAAAACTGAGGATTGGCAAGTATAATCTACCTGGGGATTCTTAATGACAAGTTTATTGGGGTGGAGTACTAAGAGCATCCAAACACCCCCACCCTAAACTGGCTTATTTTCCAGACCATTGATCCATGCAGTTCACATGGGCCAAATTCAGCACCAATGGGACAAGCAACTGTAATCCACAGTGATCATTCAAGATAAGAACAAAGATTCAGAATGAAATTATCTCATATATACAGCCTGAAAATATAACTTTTATCTTTTGAAATTAGTATTGTGAGAGATAACTGAAATGATGTAGATAAATTATCTAAAATAAATTTATCTCCTGGTGGTGAGATATAATAAGCTGCCTGTTTTCTCTTTGTATTTCATAGGTTTTTTACATCATGTTTGGGAAGAAAAAGAAAAAGATTGAAATTTCTGGCCCATCCAACTTTGAGCACAGGGTTCATACTGGGTTTGATCCACAGGAGCAGAAATTTACTGGCCTTCCCCAGCAATGGCACAGCCTGTTAGCAGACACAGCCAACAGGCCCAAGCCCATGGTGGATCCGTCATGCATCACACCGATACAACTGGCTCCCATGAAGGTATGCAAGGATTCTGTCTTCAGGTTGACTTCAGCACCAGGCTCTGACTTGATTTAGTGTACTATCTTTATAAACTGGGTAACTTTAGCCACAGTTAGCCTTCATTTTGCAGCACATGAAAGGGAAATGTTGTCTTTGAATACTGATTATTGTAAAATTTAGATGTAAAATTAAGCTACAAAATGAATTTTTATTTCTGTCAATAATACCCAGCTCCTCTGATAATATCAGCAATAGATCTAATCAAATATTTTACTGGACATATTTCATTGTCTTCTATTTGCTCTCAAAATATTTATACTTACTATTATAAAATACAACGATAACAGATTTCAGTAGCAATAAATCATATTTATAAGCATACACTCAAATGTATGTGTCTATATGTATGATTTATACAGTAAATGTGTGTATCTTCACATTTATCTCCATAGTCTAAGAAAGAGATATTTCATATTAGCAAATAATTTCAGTCATTGAATAATTAACCTGAACAAACAGCTGGTAGATTTTTGATAAGGAATGTTCATGACTCATTAAGTTTCAGCTATGTTCAGTTACCAAAGAGACAATTCAGAGGTTGCAGCTTCTTCTTTACTGGAGGGTAAGAATTCTGTAGTCTATCAGGCAGTTGCCCACAAGCTCTCCATGGGAGTAAAACAGTATAGATATTTAGCAGAATAATATACATCAGATCACTCCAGAGTCTTCCAATCTCAACAAAGTATGAAACTCATGTTCCTCTGTCATTCATTATACTAGAACGTATCTTTGCTATGAGGATACTTACTCTGTGTGAACATTAATAGTGCCTAAATTGTGCTAAATTATATATAAAGTGATTCTACAGGATGTGAACAAAAGATATAGTTGATAAATGATAAAGGAGTCTGTTATCTCTTCAACTGGTTGAATTCGAATAGTGATCCAATGAAAGAAGTGTGTCGTCCCTTATTTTTGGACAGCAGGCTTCAGGAGGGTTTACCTGAGTAGAAATCTACCACATGAGCCAGTATTCCTTGATGGGTCATGACTCCCATTGCCCCTGTTCAGAAACTCTAGCTTATCTATTTTGCCTACAACTTGTAAGAGTACATCTGTCCTTTGCAGACTCATTTATGCCAGGGCTTCTCAAGGTATATTGAGAATCACCTGAAGTGTCTTGCTAAAACAAATGTTCTAGTTGGGATTTCTATTGCAGTGAAGAGACACCAGAGCCACACAAATTCTTATAAAGGAAAACATTTAGTTGGGGCTGGCTTACACTTGAGAGATTTAGTCCATTGTCATTGGACTAAATTGGCTGTAATGGTACTGGAGAGGTAGCTGAGAGTTCTACATCTGGATCCAGGGGCAGTAGGAAGACAGGGAGCCCTTAGACCTGGCTTGAGATTCTGATACCTCAAAGCCTGCCCCCAATGACACACATCCTCCATCAAGACTGCACCTACTCCAGTAAGGCTGTACCTCCTAATAGTACTGCTCTCTATGGGCTTATGGGAGCCATTTTTATTCAAACCACCATAACACAGATATGGAGCTCTACCCCTGTATCTGATTCAGTAAAACTGGGTTAGAGCTTCTTGGTGTTCATTTCTAAATAATATCCTGCTGGTGCAAAGGCGGCTGGCCTAAAGAGATTTTGAAAATCTTTATAAAAGTAGTTATAAAAACTTATTTACATAGATGATATAATCAGAATGACTTTACACTGGTTAAAAAAAAGTTCAAGATATCAGAATCTTAGATTTATGTTGAGTTGACTTTCTTGACCCCAAACCCCAAGCACATAAACTGACTGAAATCATCTGAATAGTCAAAGGGGAGTATACCTTTCAAACATTTGGCAAGGTCAGGAAATGAAGGTCAGTGATATGACCTGCACTTAGCATAAATTCAATGGGTTCAATTTCTAACAGCTCCTCTTCTTCCCCCACCAAGAATGTTTTTCATACTTAACTGTTTTGTCCATAAGAGCATCATAAGCAACATTACCCAAGTTGTTTCAAAATTAGCTGTGTTATATGCACATCTTAACGTTTTCTTCCTGTTTCTTTTTAATGTTAATTATTATTATAGCAATAATTCTAAATATTTTGATATATTTAAATTTTATTGTGATGTCATACTATATAACTATCTTCGAACTTCCTATTTATTTAAGATTGAGAAAAATTCTCATTCATACAGAAGACTTGAGTTTCGTTTAAATTGTAACTTTCTATAACTTGCTCATTTTTCTATAGAAGAATTCTACAAAGTATGTGCTATAACAGATAAAATTATCATGAAGATATGAGTGCTTGGTTTTCATAGTACAGTCTGGAACTCTTGGGAAACTTAGGTTCTTTGAGAAGTCTACCTGAGGTTACAGTAGGATTTTTCAGAAAGTAACATATATTGTAGTGTCATAGTTGATGCCTAAAATATCATGAACTCTCTACTCTTTTGCTTTATAAGCTTCTTATTTGTGTGGTGGTGGCCCATGCCTTTAATTCCAGCACTCAGGGGACAGAAGCAGGCAAATCTCTAAGTCTGGGGCCAACCTGGCCTACAAAATGAGTTCCAGGACAACCAGGGCTACACAGAGAAACCCTGCCTTAAAATTAATAATAATAATGTAGTGAAAAATCAAAGTTTAGAATAACTCCATATTTTAATATAGTATACAATGGATAATTTTTAATTCTAACAGAAACAGAAGTCTTTTTAGGTCATGAACAAATTTGGAGGTTCTTCAAAAATTTTAAGAACAATCATTTGTGGTTCATATCAAATGGGGTTATCTGTGATATCTCCAGTTTGATCCTCACATGGTACCCATTTTGTTTATTTTTAATTGTTCTATATCTTCATGAAAAGAGACTTTTGTCTTCTCTAGTTGACTGTTAATGGTTGAGTTGGCATTAAGTCCAGAAGGATTACTAAATATAATATCCTATCATATTGTAACTGATTACAATTTCTCTAACCTAACAGTTTGGAGTCATGTCAATGCTTATGTCTTTTCAGACCATACTTTATCTATTTTAGCCTCCAAACCATTCTCTTTTTAGGTGTACTTTATTATTTATTTATGTGTATCTGTGTGACATAGTATGTGTAAATGTGCATACTTGCATGTAGGTGTCCTTGGAGACTAGCAGGGTGTCATTTTCCCTAGAAATAGAGTTACAAGCAGTTGTAAAACATCCAACGTGGGTGTTTTCAGGTCTTCTGAAAAAGTAACAACTGCTCTTAACATCTGAGCCACCTATCTAGCCCTGAAACTACAAAGATATCTTTAATGTATAACTATCTAACATCTCACATCTTTCACTCCAAAGATGTCGCGCACATGCACGTGTGTGTGTGTGTGTGTGTGTGTGTGTGTGTGTGTGTGTGTGTGTGTGTGTGAATTCTTTGAGAATCTTATACAATGTATAAGATTTGTCTCCCTCAACTCTTACAAGATCCATTCCACCTCCATACACACCCTACTTCATTTTGTCTTGTTTTTCAATTTATGGAAACCAATTACTCCTTTCCAAATACTCTTGGGTTTAGGACATGTTTTAAAATATGATTGACCTACCAAGAGTCATATCCTTAAAGAAAATTGACTCACCCTCTCCTAGCAGCTCTTAATTGCCAATATCTCCTCAACTAGGGATGGGACTTCCCTTCTTGATGGGATCCTATCAGCCTTAAGCTTCTCAGGTCTTGGGCATGCTGTCACAATGACTGTAAATTCATGTGTGCAACTGCCCTGTTGTGTCCAGAAACCATTATTTCCTGTGGGCATGTGTCCACTGAACTTTTTAAGGAGGTGGTAGATGATATAGATGTCCAATTTAGGGCACAGTACTCCACAGTCTGTACATTGACTGGTTGCAGGTCTCTATATTAATTGTCATTTACTTCAAGAAGCTTTTCCACTGAGAGTTAAGAAATGTAGTTCTTTTTCGTACTGGCAAGCCATCGATTGCCTTTCAAAGCTTTCTAACAGCCTTCTCGTTATACCATGGGGGATGAAGGTTGCCAAGCTGACTCTCTTAGGTCATCTTCACATCTGCAATTGTCAATATTTTATAACATTCCAAAATTGTAGTTCTCTCTCTTTCTTTTTTGTCTTCTACCTCTGACAACTACATTAAAAACAACTTTATTAGACAAAATAGGTAAAATCAAGAGAAGAGAATCTCCAGGTCCAGCTGCTGGATTCTGGGAGACCACTCCTTGTTTTCCCCTTTATTATAGTGTATATTAGAAGCTCCTCAATGAAGCTCACAGCTTTATAATTCTCTTTCTCCCTTCCCATTCTTCACTATTACATACAGACATCCTAAATATTTTTAGCTCTGTCAATTTCTGTGACAGTCTCTAGTTCCTTTAATATGTTTTGAAATGCATTTTCCTAAACTATGGGACAACTATATGTTTTCTAACATTATAGTAACTATTTATTTTAGTGTCTCCCTTAATTACTGACAATAGTCATCAAGGAATCAAACTTTAACAGATACTTGTCATACGCTTAGCTGAATGAAACTCCCAGAAACTATGACACTGAAGAGTGGCCCAGAGAGACTCTTCTGACTTTCATGTCTGCTTTTTGCCCTACACTATGCCCTGACATTACCTTTCAGCTTGTCTCAGTACCTCTGTCCTCCTTATTTTCATCCTGATATGTTCTATGTGCCTCCTCTCAATGACCAGAGATTCAGTCCACTACAGCTTTCCTATCCGCCAATATAGTTTTAGTTCCTTCTTGTTTTTTATCGTATCTCTACTATGATACAATGTTGGCCATAGAAGCATCTATTATAACTCTTGAAACTTGATACCTTAATGTTTACACCACTAGACTTCATCTTTCCCTTTCCCAGTATCTGCCTTGGTGGATGAGTATCAAAGCTTACCTAACTACTAGGCAGACTTTAAGATGGGAAACACTCACAACCATAAGGAGGAAGTAGTACAGAGACCCCGTGGCAGAAACAAGTTTAGTGAGTTTAAAG